AAAAATGAAATAATGCGACAACCTCTAGTCCTTACATTTATTGGTGGATGTTGTTTGGACCAACGTGTACCATCTTTCCCCAGATAAAAGTGAGAAGATGGAGTACCTGCCGAGCTTGATTCGTAAAAATTGCCTTCATCTTCTGATGGTTCGTCTGCGTCAGTGTCGGTAAGATGGTCGCTTACTGAAATGTGGTCAACTTCACTATCTGATTCAGTTGGTGGAATTTCATTGTCATCACTCTCCTCCTCCATTATTTTCCTTATTTCCTCTTCTAGATCTTTTTTAGTTAAAGGCCTTCTATCCACCCATTTACTGATATTTGATGGCCCTGGCTGAGAATCCATTATCTACTGCAATACTGATATGCCAATAAACTATAGTTACTTCATTTGTTATAATTTTAACTTACTGGAACTCGAACTGATAAAATTGAAATAATGCGACAACTGTTCAATAATAACCACAATTCACCAAAAACTAATAAAAGACACAAAACACAGAAATAAAATGGTCCACTTCGCATAAATGAGACCCTAGCACTGATCGAGAACGGTATAATAATATCGCCTGAGCATAGGTACTTCTGTTACACTCTACTCGAGAGGTATACAGGGGATTCCCCGATTTAATCGACATTTGGAGAATATACACATCATTTAATAAGCGCCGGGTATTTTCTACCCACGCGCGCGTCCTCCCGGGTTAAACAATCGTTGACTTTCTTGACTATACATATAATGCTTGATAATACTTTACACATTCTTCTTAGGTTCTACTCTAAATCTTAACTGAACTTACTAACTAACTTAATTCTAAATATATGTACATCAGTCTTAATCTATTGACGATATAATTAAAGAGTTATTAAGAATAATGACATGGATATTATTTAACGTTTAACTTATTCTTAATGACTCTTTATGGACATAATATAAACAAATAGAGATAAAATCAAAATAATATTGTTTATGAAAAGAGATTCATAACAACACATTTGAAGACGAGTTCTAAATTCTTTATAAAAAGTACGAATTTCCGCCAGTGGTAGAGATTCTATCGCTTTAATTAATCTTGCTGAAAGTACATTGACCGTATAAAATTTAAGGGTATTCATGGTACATCATGGTTCATCATGGTACATTTACTAGTACCATAGGACAGTACTAAATAAATTCTCTCTTTCACGGTTAACATCGCATGAAAAGACTTAATCTCACCAACATAAGTTGTAACTTTTTTATGGTTACATATCATAAATTAAACTTGAAAAATTTTCAATTTAGAAAAAAGTCCAATTTTTACATAAAAATTGGAATAATTAGTTAACTTTTATAGTTACAGTATAAAATTCATGCGATTTACGCATTATTTATGCTGAGATAAGTTTGAAAAATCAGTAACAACAATTTTTTTCATCTTTGTAACTCGATTCGGGGACATACTGTATAATAATAATTTGAGAATAATTTCTCTATACACATTTCTCAAGAAAGTAATTTTCTTCAGGTCATAACTTTTTGCATTACCCATCATTACCGAGACAATAATAATAAAGTATCATTTGAAGGTCGTTTCCTCTGAACACGAGAGTTTTTTAACAGCACGTAGTCCAGAGAAAACGAGCTAAGAGTAATCGTTAAACTTCGATCTAACGCCCGACATCGTAAAACTTTTGTTGCAATTTGGCTCCCTTAAAGGCCATTGACCATCGATAACTAAAATTATTCCAGACGCCGGGTTTATGCATGATAATAACATGAATAAGGTATCGTTTAGTTAATAAATGATGATATTTTATAAAGATAGTATTTTTTTTGATAGCAAAAACTCCCGAAATACGGCCGTGTAACATTTCGATAAGTGGCGAACATCAGGGTAGATTAAACAAGAGCAACATCGACAATGAAACGTTATTGTTCAACAAGATCAACAAGATGCCGATCGACTGTATTTGGGAGATTACGGCCGACGAGGGATGGAAGGTAAACGTGACAATGCTGAAATTTATGCGAATTGGTGAACGATGTTCTTTGGTGTTTGCGCAGGTGCAGTTGTCATTCAAGAAGTTCAAACTTGATCGGCCCAACGACTGTGAGGCCAACTTTGTCGACGTGTTTTCAAGCAGTACCGACATACCCTCGAGGGAAAAACACTTTTGCGGATCTATTGCAGACACCGTCAACTCAAAGGGCAGAGTCATGTACATTCGGTTCTTTGCTAGTCCGGAGGCCAGTGAAGGTTCCAATTTTGAGGCGTTGTTTACTGCCTTTAGGGAAAACGAGAAGAGTAAGTTTCCATCCTTTTATGTAACTCCATTAAGTGTAGTTTTCATTGTATTTGCTCAAATAGTTAAATATAAATCAGTTAGTTTATCTATTCGTAATACCAGTTTAATGTCTTGAAACACAATATATTAGATAACCTATCGGATAATCAGTTGTACTTTACTACGGTATTACGATGTCGACCCAGTTGGATTGCCTCGAAGCAGAAACTAGGCACAAATCAAAACCGAGACGCTCGTAGGATACAAGAGCTTGGGAACTAGTCCTGCGGCGCAGTAAATTATTATCCTGCATTAGCCGGTACCGGTGTATGTATCAAGGCCGATATTTACCATCACCCATATTTCATAGGTTCATATAGTCAATTCCGAAAATATATACCTATATTTTCGGGTATCAAATATAACGACAAAGAAATAAATAAATCGTTGTGAAATACAATCTAAAAAGAAATTTATCTCACACTTTTTAATTTTCTTTCTACGTGTAGACGCCGACTGTCGCCCTGACGAATTCAACTGTGATGATGCCACTTGTATCTCTGAAACGTTAAAATGCAACGGAGAATACAATTGCCGTTTCCGGTGGGATGAAGACGAATGTAACGTAAGTAGCAAAATATTCTCGTAGCTGACATTCGTCGCTCGCATATTGCTTACGTGTACGCTAAACCAAACCAGTGAAAGAGATTTTTAGAGGTAGAAATACATTTCAAAAACATTTTACATTTCTTTAATAACAACCTGTCTTAAAAATGTAAAGTAAATTAAAAAAATAACTTCTATTTTTATTACTTATGATTGGAAATAAAATTGTAAAGTTGATTTTTTTTTCATTTACATTTCACTTTCAGCTTATCTTTGGTTCATTTTAAATTCGTTTTGCGATAACGTGATACAAATGAGAAATTAATTGCACGCTTGTAGAGAAGATATTTTGCTTCAGCTCACCGGCTAACCTAATTTCGTAGCAACAGGCTTCGCCACTCTTATCTATTTCCTGTCGTCTTCTTTTTGCTTAAACTGTTCCTATTCTATTCATTGCAGGGCATTCTGGTAAGCGGTTTACAACGATGAGGTTAGATGTACCCCGCTGTGCCGCAGATTTGCTTCGTCTTTTTTTTTCCTTTTTATTTTCATTTCTTGCGCTCTATATTTTTCTTTATACACCGAGCTGCTGCGCTTTGTTCTTTCTCATGTGGCTAGGAGGCAGTATATTTTTTTACCTCTTCAGTTATTATTTGCCGCGTGTGAACACAAGTGGACAGACACACCTTGTGTTAGTTTTTATTTTTTATCAACATAGTTTTTAGTACTTTTTCCAGAAACATATCCTGAAAGTTTTTAATTTGATGTGTTTTACACGTTTCGTTTTTCTTGGTGGATTTACTTAGAAGTAGTGTTTTGTAGTTTTTAAATAACAATGTATATTTTTTGTTGTTTTTTGCTTATTGCTCTGTTTTAGAAAAGGGACAATTTTCCAGTAGGAGAAAACCACATAATAATCATCATGGTGATATTTTCGCTAATTTTATCCGGAATGTGTTTCACGTTTTTGTTTAATTGCGTCAAAAAACTTATCAGGGATCATAGGACTATACAGGTATTTTACAAAAATGTAGCTTTTTTTGCTTCAATTATTTTCTTTTAGGAATATTTAAGGCAGAGTAGAGAACATCAATTAAACGAACTGGGTAAACAAGAACAAATTGAGAAGAAAATTGCCAAACTAGGACGATCTCGGTCAAATAGCACACAAAGTTCAGATTCTCAACGATACCCAACAGCTAACGCAATGGTTAACACTCCTTGTTATGTACCAGGGGAATTGTTACCAATTATCATTCGTAATGAACGCAACGGTGGTAGCGGCGCCGTAAACGGAGAAGCATATCAAACAACCGCGGCCACCCAATTCGACGAAGACGACCACCAACAACAACAGCAGCAACCGGAAATGTGCGATAGTGCGTGCCAAACAAGAGAAAGTCTCTTCCACCCGTACGGAAGTGAACATAGTACTCCAAATCATAGCGTGGCCTCTGCAAATTCAAAGCCGAGTCCTCCAGCTCCTTTCAGTACTTTTGGTTATAAAAAGGAAGGTAAATACAGGGCAGAGGCGAAAATTGAAATCGAAAAAAGTCGATCAGAAGAAAAAAGACGTCCGTATAGTGTTCAAACAACTAAATCGGCACCGGACGTCATCGTGACGCACTGACACATGTGCCACGCCGAGTGGGAACCTTACCGACGGAGGCGCCCCCGGCACTTCTTGAGGACCACTTGTACACCGCTCGATGTCCCTTCGAGCCGCAACGCCGCGACGCAAACTGACGTCGACGACGACGATCGCGACGCGACATTTCCAAACACGTGATAAGCAGGGACAGTGCGGAATCCTTTTACGAGGACTGGACGTTTTAACCTTTTTATATCTTATGTACAGAAAGAAAGTGAAACATGTTGATAAATAAAGCTAAAAAATCGAATTTAAGTCGACTTGCTATTTTCATTTCATATCAAATAAATTTTTGTTTACATTTGTAATATATATAGAGAAACAGTGATTCTGCAGCATGAGATATCTTAGTCAATTTTGGTTCATTTTGGTCCACTGAATATAAAAATAGTAATTTATTTGTTGAATTGACTCTAGTTTTTGAGATAAAGTATTAATTTACACAGAAAATTAAATTTTGAGAAAAGAGAATATTGTTGAAATCTATATTTTAAAATTATTTATCCATTCGACTTAAAACAAAAAATAAAACAAAATTAACTATAATAAACAAAAACATATCGATAACTTTTAAGAAAATCGTTTTCTGTGTGATTTTCTATTGTGTTTTTGATTAAGGCAATCTCTCTGTAAATTCCAGCAATAATCCGCCATCATATGGTGGTCCCACCGCCCTTTATATCTCTTTTCCATAATCTTGATATCTTGGTGAAACCGCTCCCCTTGTTCTTCGCTGTAGTCACCCAAATTATCTGGAAATTTGTCTAAATGGCTGTGCAAGTAATGCAATTTCACGCTCATGTTAACTCCCAGTTTTTGGAATTTTTTAAGCATGTTGTCTACCAATTCATAATGTGTTTCAGCTTTGTGGTTTCCTAAAAAATTTTCGACAACCAATACGAAGCTTGACCATGCTTCCGATTCAACTTGATTCATATGGTTTTTAAAATCTTGGTTTTTAATAAGGGAGCGAATTTTGGGACCGTCAAAAATACCTGCTTTTAACTTCTCGATACTGAGACCAGGAAATGATTAACAAATATATTTGAAGCAGTCGCCGTTCTTATCTAAAGCTTTCACGAATTGTTTCATAAGTCCAAGTTTTATATGGAGGGGAGGCAGGATAACTTTTTCGCGACTTATTAATGGTTCTTCGATGATGTTTGCTTTTCCTACATCCATGTTAAGTCTCGATGGCCAGACTTTCCTGGTCGCAGACATAGAAAGCAAGGATATTTTGTGTATCCACTCTGCTGCCCCAATAAAAAGTTTACTATTTTTAAATCTACACACACTTGCCATTGATGTTGATCGTATGAAATTTTTTCTAAAACAAGCTTGATGTTTTTATTATCTTCCTTAAGTATAGTGGAATGACCTATTGGGATTGATGCTAACACGTTTCTGTTATGCAGTAACACACATTTCAAACTTCTTTTAGAACTATCTATGAATAGTCGCCAGTCTTGTGGTTGATATTCTGGAGGGCCCATTAAATTTAAAAGCCCAGAAATGTCATTACAATATACGATATCATTCAAATTTGTAAAATAAGGAAGAATATCGCGCTCTCTAGTTCGATAACTTGTTATTGACACGCCAGGATGAAGGCAATGTTTTTCTTTCAGTCTTGACGCAAGAAGCTCAGCTGATTTCTTCGATAAATTTAAATCTCGAATCAAGTCGTTTAGCTCACTCTGAGAAAACCCTTTTTATAGAGATGTATATTAAAGGTGATTTAACCATTATGCTAATAGATATTGACCGACAAAACCCCGGATTAAGATATTTGAAGGAGCGTTCTTTCTGATTGTGAACACAGTTTCTTAAAATTCGGTTTGATAACAATTGCACAAGGGCTTGAAGTTTGGTAATATTAAGCTATTTTACGTACAGAGAGGTGTTCTTCATCTTTTATTGTTTTTAATATTAACATATCGGCAAACGAGGACCGACGATTTCATAAAGAAAGAATCAAGCTTTCATATGGTGCATTTAGTGTTCTGCTATATCTAATAATAAAAAAGATATCAGCTAATAAAATAGATAGGAAATTGCGGATAAAAATTTGTTGTTGGAAGGTTTGTTGCTATCGTTGCTATCGTCACATCGTCAATCGGGCATTTCCACTTTCGTATTGGCCAAGGATTAAGCTTTCGAATGAGACATTGTTTATCGAAATCGGTTCACTGGTTCTCATGTTATAATTAAAATACTATACATGTAAAATNGTGTAGGACTACTTTCTTCGAATTCACTTTCACTGCTGTGTTCACTGCTACTGCTAACGTCTAACATTTCAACATCATCATAACAATCACCGGGTAAAGAAGTAAATTCCGGTGTTGGTAAATCTTTACTATGCAACGTTGGTGGCTTAGCTGATTGTTGTACATCTGGGTAAATCCATGAACGCTTTTTATACCGATTCATACCCTTTACATTTACAGCGCAAAAATAGCAGTTATCAAAGTGGTTTCTTGGCTCTCTCCAAGTCATCGGTATTCCAAATGGCAGCCCTTTTCGACCTCCTTGTGTCCAGTATCTGAGTGACTCCATACAAGTTTTACAAACTTTATGCGGAACCCAACATTTATCTTGCTGTCCAAGGTGTTTTCCAAAATATGTCTGATAGGCTTGTTTCACGAAATCGTTTATATTCCTTCGTTGCTTTTCCTGACAATATTTACCACATACAGGGTGATTTATAACATACGGAGCAGACTAAAAGAGTAGGTACTGGAGGTAAAACTGAAGAGATTTTCTTAATAATGTTTTGTTAAAAACTTAATAGTTACATAGATATCGCATGTTAATTTTTTAAATAATTTAAGGTCCATTTTTCCGCTGATATTCAGTAAAGAATAATTAAAATACTTGTCCGTTGCTAAGTAACCAAATCAATTGGATTGGCAGCAATAAAAACATGGTATCAGCGGTTCTCAATAAACAAACACCACGTTTGAGCGTTTTAACAAATTTTTAAATAGCCGTAACTGCTATGTTATAAAGATTTTATTATTGGTGCTAATCAGGCATTGCTTAAGTAACCCCGAAATATTCGCAGTTTGAATTTAAGCGTAGTGTAATACCGTATATGGAAGAAATGCTCGGCCATTACTTCAACTTTAACGTTCTATATCTTTGTGATTATTAAGTTGTGGTCAAAATTTTATTAGAAAAATATCTTCAATTTGGCTCCTAGTACCTACCCTTTTAGTCTGCTCCGTATGTTATAAATCACCCTGTATATAGCAGAAATGGTCGGGATTATTAACACAGGACTTGCGTGATGATCCACTCAAAAATCGAAAAATCCACTCGAAAAACTTATATATATTATGTATATAGAAGGTCATCTCCCCACTATTTTTTGGTACATTAAACGCTCCCAAGGGGATTGTGAGGGAACTAATTAGGTTAAAGCGCGAAATTTAAATATAGGTATTTCTATACCGGTTTATACCAATACTTTATTTTGAAGAGGTCAAGTACATTTTACAAATAAATGCAAAAAAATATGAATTTAAAGTTTTTCCAAGACAAAATTCATAATTTTAAATATAATATATATTGCTCTCATTGGCTAAAGAGCGCCAATTTATCTATCGGATAAAGTTATGAAGAGGTGGTAAAAGTGGCCCTAGTTTATTTAACAATTAACTAAAGGATATAAAACACTAAGCCAAAGGAAAGTAAGGAAGAATATTTGCTTATACAACCTGGTTATCACCAGTTATCACACCAAGCGACAAAACAAAAATGTGACGTTTGCTTTCACCTTTGAGTTTGACGTTACATATAATTTTTTCTATGGCTGCAAGCGCTTTGTTTGTGTAGATAATGCAGATTGCTACAAATTCAGTCTACAACGTCATCCAGTGGATTGTGAGGGTATTAAAACTTGGGTCTACATTTTTATAGTAGTAAGATTGCACACTGTTGCACACCATGTCAACAACTACGTCAAGATGACAATAAAAATGACACAAGAATGAGTAAACTACACCGAATAGTGATCAAAAAAGACAATGTTAAAATTTTAAGGCTATTTGATATTTCGAGGGTTTTGTTATTTTAATAAAAATACCAGTTCCACAATTTATACAATGAAAACAAGTTGACGAGGAAAAGAGCAATAAATAAAAAACGCGTATGCGATCCCAGATGTGTAACACTCTGCTATACCACCAATGTTGCTTAGTAAAGATTTACCAATATAGGTGTTTACTTGTAATTTTATGAAATGTTAGATAGTATTAAAAACGAAAAAAATAGTGAAAGTGAATGTGAAGGCTGTAGTCCTATACGTCAATGGCCATCTTAGGGTGAGCTTGATATTATATTTTTCCCAATCAGACAACTAATTGTCGATTTATGGTAAATTATGTAAAGCTGTCTTTTCATTTTATATAGATCGGTTTATCACGAAAACTAGAGTCAATTCAAACAATCTAATTTATAGCATAAGAACTTCATAATGATGTGCATTTAAATTAGCTCCATAAAATTAGGCCGCAGAAAAAAAAATTGTTTTGTTCCCCTCTATCAGATACCAAAAAGAAACGAAAACATTGTTTCATTACTAGAAAATTTAATTTAAGTCGTTAATCTTAAAGTTTTAGAGAGACGACATCTACTTAGTTCGTTTCGTTTAACTTCAAAGTAATTTTAACTTGAAAAAGTGTTGAATTAAACGAGAAAATAAGAAAGTTTTATGGTTACCTAAAAGAGTTGTTTTATGTGAAAAAAAAAAGTAAAATAACTGATCGAAAACTTTATTGATCCCCAAACCTATTTTCCTTTGTTTTAACAAAGTAAAACATGAACCACACATTGTTACATTATTCATTCTGTTTGGGATCAGTTTCAAACGCTTTCCTGTGCCTGGCGATACTCGAAGAGGCTGCCCCTTTCCACAAAGCCCCTCTGAGCCGTTTCAGCTTTCCCTTTTTGCAACGGTCCCGTCGGATTTTGGAGTCCATAACCACCACCACCCGGCGTATGCAATTGAAATACGTCCTATAAACAGAAAATACACCTTCAAAATCGATTCTTAGCGAGTTATCAATTCCAATATTTCTTAGTAACAAAGAAAATGCAACGAAAAGGAATTGTTACGGAGCAACAAAACATTTAACGAGTGTTTCCAACGATTTCAATGGCTTGCAGGTGTCGTTTCTGACAACGGCCAAACAGAAATGAAAGGAGTTCCCGGATTTAATAAACCATTAGGAATGAATCAGAGTCTCGAGAGAGAAAATCTGAGAAATGCGAAAAGCCTTATAAGAGTCGCGAGGTCACAGATCTTTTACCTTTTCTATACAAAACAGAATAAATAAAGAGATGTTACATTAATAAAAAGAAAACGTGAGATGCAAAAAATTTCTCATGAAATATTGTAATAAGTTGTGTCATGTTAGTGACGCATACTATAATAAGTACAATTTATAGTACAAAGTATTAAAATTTTAATCAATCCACTTCACATTAAATTAATCAGCATTTTTTAACTTACCCCTGGATTAACTTCCACAGCAGTTTTAGGTCCTAAATTTATAACTCTTCCATCATTTCGAACTAAAAGATTCATTCCACGAGCACCAGCACCACCGCCTACAATTTATAATCCATTTAAGTATATATTTATTATCTAATTATTTATTTACCTTCTAATCCGTAAGGTTGTAACACTCTTCTTTCAGTCAAAACTGATAAAGTAATCGGCGCTCTAAAATATAATTGTCTTAAAACACCATCACCTCCATTATAAGCTCCTTTCCCTCCAGTTTCTTGTCTTAACATAAATTTTTCAACGTGTACAGGATATCTTCGTTCGAGAATTTCTATATCTGTAATTCTTGTGTTGGTCATATGAGTATGAACACCCGAACATCCATTAAATCCAGGACCCTAAAATAATATTATGAAAAACGTTTAGTTCTTTTAGGTTTTAATGGTTTACAGCTCCACTTCCGCCAGCTACTGTTTCATAACAACCCCACGAATCGCTTCCAAACGTGATGTTGTTCATACAACCTTGAGAAGCTGAGCAAGCTTTGAACGCTTTTAAAACAACGTCTACGATTCTTTGAGAGGTCAAAACATTTCCTCCAACCACAGCGGCGTTATCACTTGGATCGAGAATGGATCCTTTTGGAATAATTGTTTTTATAGGAGCCAAACAACCCTAAAAATGTATGGATTTGTAGAAGTTTGTTTTGGATAATTGGAATCTTTTTACTTGATTTAATGGAACATCGTGTCCAACCATACATCTAAGACAATATATTAAAGCAGAAAGAGTTATTGCTTTTGGGGCGTTACAATTTCCCCACACTTCAGGACCGCTGCCTCTATAATGTTTAAATATAATAATATTATTTGAATAAAATAAAATTGTTTTATGATATTTAGTTTTGTATAATGTAAATAGTTTTAAATCTATCAAGAGATGGAATTGTCGAGGAGTTTGTTATTGCATAATATTTAGTTTTGATAATCTAAATAAAAAATATATCTATATCATATCTCTATAAAAATAATAGATAATAGAGAGAAATAAGAAATAAAAATCTCTATAAAAAAACTATATTTTTTTATAGAGATATGAAATGACAATCAATTTTATATTATTTGATCTTAATCGACAATAATTAATCTTCCTTTATCATTGCACAGGTAAATAAGTGTATGAGTTATGCTGGGCGTTTAAACTAAAATCCTGGCCACTTATTTCCAAGACTAGATAAGTGAGACGTAGAACTTGATGAATAATATAAATAAATTACTTACGTAAAATCACAAATGGTTGAACCGGTAACTTCATCCAAAATAACTTTTAATTTGATTGGCGATCCATCATCCATATGATCAACGGCTTCCAAAATATGAGTTCCGGTCCTAGAGAAAGTTTTCTTAGCTACTTCCTTCAACATATCTCTTACAGCTACTTCAGCGTTCGTCTGAATGTGGTTCATATAAGCTTGAACTACCTCCAAACCATACTGATCAATTAATTCGCTCACTAATTGTATGCCCTTTTTATTGGCAGCTACTTGAGCGCGTAAATCTGAAATATTATCGTTTAAATTTCTTCCTCCAGCTTCTTGAATTTTTTTGGTAAATTCTTCTTCGCGAAATCTTCCAGATTCCACTAATAGAAAGCTTTTGAATGCGGCTCCTTCTTGCGATAAATTGGTGGAATGAGGTGGCATTGAGCCGGGGGTTATTCCTCCAATGTCTGCGTGATGACCGCGAGATGCCACAAAGAAAATTGGATTTTTTGCGTCTCTAAATTATGATAAAATAAAACAAAAACTAATAATAAAAATGCAGATACTAACCTATGAAAAACTGGAGTTATTACTGTAAAATCGGGTAAGTGGGACCCACCAGCTGCCGGGTGATTTGTTAAAATAACATCTCCATCATTAAAAACACCTCTAGATTTCATTTGATATTGTACAGCTTCTTGCATTGCACCTAAATGAACTGGGATATGAGGTGCATTCGAAACTAACCCGCCATCCGCTCCAAAAAGAGCGCAAGAAAAATCTAATCTTTCCTTTATATTGGTGGAAATTGAAGTTCGTTGAAGGATACGTCCCATTTGCTCTGCAATACTCATAAACCTGTGACTAAATATGCTGAGTTGAATGGAATCAAGTTCCGTTCCAATTTCTTTTATCCTTCCCGTGCCAATTGTAATTTTGATGTCACCTCTTTTTGTAATAAGAGCGTTACATTCAGGTTCAACTATAATCGTGCTAAGTTTATCCATGATTATCGCCGGGCCATTTAATATTTGTCCGGATTTTAATTTTTCCAACAAATAAACTTTAGTTTTTAATGAACCTTCTTCAAAATAGGTATTAACAATTTTTTCTGGAATTGGTTTCACTTCAGTAATCGGATGTTCTCTATCTTCATCCAATAATGTTTTTCCAATTCCTCTTACGCGTATATCATCAATAATAACATTTCTGTTTTGTATCGTAAATCCAAATTCTGTTTGATAACGATTTAAGAACGTTTTCAAGAAGTCGCCGTCAGTGCTTAAGCACATTAAAGCACAATCAGTGCCATCATATCTCATGTGTAAGTATTGCTCCAAGAATATAGAATTATTACCAAAACCTTGATTTTTTAATTCTGTTTTACATTGTTCCCCTAATATCTTAAATCTCTCATCAAAATACGAAAGGTTTTCATCATTATAAATTTTCGCGCATGGTTCTTGAGCTTCATGAACGACATCTGCTAAGGCCATTCCGTAAGCAGACAAAATTCCGGCATATTTATGTACAAAAACCGTTGTCATACCCAACGATCTTGCTATAGCACATGCATGTTGCCCTCCTGCCCCGCCAAAACACGCCAAAGCATGTCTAGCGGTATCATAACCTTTCGCTTGGGTTAAAGCTCTTATAGGTCTGCACATTGTTTCATTCGCCACTCGAATAAAACCCATGGCTACTTCTTCCATACTCATAGATTTGCCCTCTGATTTTAAAAATACATTAATCTCATCGGTAAGTACTTTAAATTTATCAATAGTTGCGTTTGTATCCAACGGAGAATCTTCGTTTGGGCCGAAAATTTTTGGAAAATATTCGGGTAGTAAACGTCCTAATGCTAAATTCGCATCGGTAACTGTAAGTGGGCCATTTTTCTTATAACAAACGGGTCCTGGGTCAGCTCCAGCGGATTCTGGACCAACTGCAAACAATCCCGACCTAACCAGGTGGTGAACACAAAACTAAATATATTTATTGTAGATTAATACCTGAAAAATAACATAGAACCACCACCAGCAGCCACTGTATTTACATCCAACTGCGGTGCTTGAATGGTTATACCTGCCGTCGTACTTTCGTATACATGATCGTAAGTTCCAGCAAATCTTGACACATCCGTCGATGTACCTCCCATATCAAAGCCAATTATGGGAAGATCGGTTTCTTTTTGCCATGTAGTAACTGCGTAACTAAAATTTTTATATTTAATAGTATTTAATAAAAAGTTGGACGTAAATGTAGATTTGAGTTTAATCTTGTGTCATCGCAACAACCGGTTTTATGCTTAGATTTATTCTTTACATCTTGAAATTAAACTTAACTTTAACAAAAAATAAATAAATCAGCCAACTATTTTTAGGCAAACGTTATTGTTGGGTGTAAGTCAAATTCAAGTGATACGAAATCAGCTTAAGATGCTGATGAAGATGGCGTCGATAAAATGAAACAAAAACGGTATAAGAGAAAGGATCTAAACAATGAATTAATGGACTAAAATGATTAATAACATGAAACCTTATAGGAATAACATAAATTCAGTGTAAACATGATAAATGTAACGCAATAGAGGTGAAAAACAGAATTGAATAAGATTTCTAGATATGAAAACAGATATAGTAATAATAGAAGTAAACACAAAACAATATAAACAGTACAAAAACAGTATTAAATTTATCTCTGTAATCGATACATATTTTAAAGGTGTACTTACAATAAAAGCTATACATTTAAGATTAAAGGGACAACAGAAGAAATCTTTACTAAACACAAAGACAAAGTAGAAAGTACACTCTTTTTTCCAATAACAAATTAGTTCAAATAAATTCACATTTATCCATGTTGCAAGTTAAATAATTAAATTAAATTATTAATTAAATCAGAAACTAGTTTCGGGTTTCAACCCCACCATCAGTCTGAAACTATAAATAGATGAAAATAGACAAACATACACGTTAAAATATTAAATTAATGTCAAAAATGTTAAAAAAAAAACTTACAGTCAATGAAACTACAGGATGATTCACATAAGAACCGACACAGAGCAGGGACATGTAGAGGACAATAAATTAAGATAATTTAACGCAACTTATCTCTATACCAAGTTGTACCCCTGAGGAGTTATAGGCCTTCAAAGTTGGGTCTTAAATTTTTAAAACATTGAATATCTTCGTAATACATAAAGCTAGAAAAACCAAATTTGGTAGACGTTATGAGTGTACCGAGGGTATTAATTGGTAGCAAGTTGAGACCAATTGAAGCATTTCAAAGGGTTAACTTTTATATCCAAAACTAGAAAACGCCTTATAGTCCTCTGCATTTCTATTTTGTTCTCTGCACTTCTATTTCCATCCAATCTAATTGCTGCGAAGAAGAAGATTTTTGGAAAACACTTGAAAAACAATCTTTTAAAGTTTGTTTTAATGAAGATCATTACCAACGACGTCAATCGCATTATTTATTGAACTTCGGAAGGCCTTCTACTTCATGTTGCACGCACGGAACTCTTCTATAACCTATAAACTAGATAAGTTGAAAATCAGATTATAAGAGGCCTAGGATATAAGTAACTGGCAACCGCCTTTACCTTTACAATAAGGAAATTTAAAGCAATTAAATCTCAAAATTGTCCTTGATTCGGGAAAAACATGTATTCACAACACCAAATGATTCCTTGAAATACTTATAGAGAGCAATGTGAAATCACTTGTAATGTAAAATCAGTTACACATAGGTGTAACTCGTATCGTATAAATCAAAATGGTTTTTGTTCAATTGAAAAAGTTCAAGAATATCACAGGGATTTGGTGAATGTTGTTAGATAGAGTGTCATTGCATATCCGACAATTGCGGGGTAGATGTAACAATTTCAACGAGGACGAGTAACAACTACTGTCTACAATTTAGAATTTTGGAAAAAGATATGCAGTTGTAGAAAGATGAAACTAGGTGCTGAGGGAAGTTTAAAAGTAAGGGAGGTATGCAATATACAGGGTGATTCACATAAGAACCGACACAGAGCAGGGACATGTAGAGGACAATAAATTAAGATGATTTAACGCAACTAATCTCTATACCAAGTTGTACCTCTGAGGAGTTATAGGCTTTCAAAGTTGGTCTTAAATTTTTAAAACATTGAATATCTTCGTAATACATAAAGCTAGAAAAACCAAATTTGGTATACGTTATGAGTGTACCGAGGGTATTAATTGGTAGCAAGCTGAGACCAATTGAGGCATTTCAAAGGGTTGATTAAGGGTGATGGTCCCCTAAATTTTGACAGATTTTTTTAACCTTTTG